ACCCAAGGAATGCACCAGGAATTGTGCAGGAGTTTCTGCCTTCTCCTGCCTGGAGGTGGGTCTGTGTTCCCACCACCAACCCTGCTCCTGGGTGCTGCTGGTGTGTCACTCCTAGGAATTGTTGGCAGGAACTGCTGCTTTGCCTGAAACAGCCAAAAATTGATCCCAGCCTGTCAGTCTGTGGCTGTGCTGCCTCCCTCCATCCCATGGGAGCACCCTGAGCTTCAGTTCATGCTTATAAGGCACTTTTAGAGCCTGAGAAGGAGAATGAAATGCAGAGTATTCCTAATTAATCATTACTGCTATTCATTATCATTCAAGGTGTTTTGCATATTAACTAAGCAGGCAGAAAACACAGTGGATCCTATTATCTGCTATGGTTGTTTTCTCCATAGGTGGGACCCCTCCTTCCGTGGTTTTGGGCTGTGCTGCTCACAGGGTACCCACAGCCTTTCTTTAAGGTGCATCTCACCCTCTGCTCCTCATCCCCTGAGGGATGAAACTCCCTCCTTGGCCACCTTTTACCCTCCAGATCCTGGCAGGGAACAGCACCAGCTCACTGGAAGAACAGTCAGCATCACAGACACCTCTCTTTTTCAGCTCTGATGTTCTTGATGAACTTAATAAATTTCAGGTGGCTCTAGGGGAGGTTTGGGAAGGAGGAAGGTGGGGGAGAAAAAGCTGCATCGTGTCTAGAAATTACCCTGGGAAAATCTGACAGTGCAAAGCCTCCAGTAGGGCTTTGTCAAGCAAACAAAACTTGCTCCTCTCCTTTCATCGAATCAGCTGTAGAAACAAAACGTGGAGCACCAGTGCAATCAGAGGGAAAGCTTTCAGGGAAGCCAGGGTGACTGAGATAGCCCAGAGGCAAAGCACAGCCATTCTCATGGAATTCCAGCTGGTGCCTTGTGTGATTCTCCACTAATCTAAAGCTTTAATTAAAGTCAGAAACTAAAACCTCCCAAAACACACACAAAAGTCCCTGAGGCACATCCTAAATGCTGAGTTTCTGGAAATTATTTCCTCCAGGACACAGAAGCTCCTTTCCCTCTGAGAATCAAAACTTGTGTTGGTCACATTTATGGCATCACCTTTTCATTCACGTTGATGGCACTTTGAGGTGGAAATGAAAAATACCAAGTATTTTCCCCTCTAAGCAGAGCCAATGGACTCCTTGGAGTCCAGGATGGGTGTTGGACTTTATTTAAAGGTTCCAGCCTTGTCTCTGTGGGGTGGTGACACATAGAAACCCCAGGAACAGATGGATGGATGAACAGATGATGGCACAGAGCAGCGAGGGGCATCACTTCTGACAGCTCCAAATGTCATCAGGGCAGTGTTGACTGATGCTAAATACAACCCCAGATCCTGAATTTTTATATGCAAAGCTGTCCCAAAGACCTGGAATCTGGACTTTCCTCCTCTTGGGCCATGCAGGAGTCACCACATGCCACATCTAGGCATGATCCTTGTGTCTGGCAGTGTCACTGTGTCCTGGGTGTGGTTGCACTCGCTGTTTCTGCAGCAAGTGCTCCTACCTGGGTTAAAGAAACGGAAAATTGTTCCAGATGTTACAGTAATAAATCATGCAATCACAGAATCAACCAGGTTGGAAGAGACCTCCAAGATCATCAAGTCCAACCCTACCATGATTACTAGACCATGACACCAAGTGCCACATCCACTCATCTTGAAAACCACCAGAGATGGTGAATCGACCACCTCCCTGGGCAGCACATTCCAATGCCTGAGCACTCTCTCTGTAAAAAATCTCTTCCTAATATCCAACCTAAACCTCCCCTGGCAGAGCTTGAGTCTGTGCCCTCTTGTCCTCCTGCTGGGTGCCTGGGAGAAGAGACCAACCTCCCCCCGACTCCAACCTCCTGTCAGGGAGTTGTAGAGGGTGACAAGGTCTCCCCTGAGCCTCCTCTTCTCCAGGCTGAACACCCCCAGCTCCCTCAGTCTCTCCTCATGGCACTTGTGCTCCAGTCCCTTCACCAGCCTCGGTGCTCTTCTCTGGACCTGCTCCAGCACCTCAGTGTCCCTCCTGAACTGAGGGGCCCAGAACTGCACACAGTACTCAAGGTGTGGCCTCACCAGCGCCGAGTCCAGGGGCAGAATCACCTCCCTAGTCCTGCTGACCACACTGTTCCTGATCCAGGCCAAGATGCCATTGGCCTTCTTGGCCCTTGTGAGGAGATGGGTAGGTGTAGAAAAGTCCTAAAGCCTTGGGAAGTGCTGAGAGCTTGGACCATGGAGTGGGTCTGGGATGATGCACTCAGGCACTGGCGTTCCTGGCTCTGCCACAGGCAAGTCATCCACGTGCTCCACACCTCTGCTCTTCCTCTGCCACTGCGAAAAATGTTGTTGAAAAATACAGGGAAGAGCATTTTGTGAAGCTCTAGTACCTGTGTGACTGGAGAGGCTGTAACTGCCAGGTGTTCCAGTGCCAGGGGCTCTCTCTGTGTGGCTCGCAGCCCTGCTGCAGCAGCAGCTCACCCAGCCGTGGCCCAGGCTGCTGCACTCATCAGCTGTGTCCCTGTGCCCTCGGTTTAATAGATGATTGGGCAGCAGGATTGCTCATTCAGGCAGGAAATGCCACGTTCGTGAGCAGCAGCTAATGCTCCGGAGGTTCCTGGGACCTGCAAGCCACAATTCCAGGTCCATTTTGCCTGCTGATGTGTGACGTGATGGGGGGGGGGGGG